TTTTCTGAAAAGAGAGAATTTAAAGCTAATTAAGTGGTGAATTTAAAGGTGTTGGGATTAAGATGGATCCCTTCCATGTTGGAAAATGTGTCAAAACAAATAAATAAAAATTTTATGATTTTTATGCACATTTAATTATATATATATATATATATATATATATATATATATATATGTGTATATATATATATATTTAATTAAATGTAAATAAGTAAATAAAGCTGTGTTGTCCCTCCTCAGGCTGGGTCACTCACCTGCAGGGCTCCCAGCAGGAAGGGCTCCATGCGTGGCCAGACGCTGACCCTGTCCTCCTCCATGTCTGACGACTGGGATGTGGATATCTGGATAGTTTAACAGCGGGAAAGAGCCGAAATGTCTTAATTCTTTTATTTTCTTAACACTTTTGACCGTAAAAGCAGTTTTCAGCATCAAAATCTCGTCTTTCAGCATTTTCTGGTCTGTCGTTGCAGATCAACATTGCACATTTCAATTGTTCATTTGTACATTGGGATCTATATCTTTAAAGTTTGTTCATTTGTACATTCGGATCTATATTTTTAAAGATTGTATTTTTCAGTTTTATCATTTCTGTCCTATATTTTAATTCTACATTTTATTCCTTGCTTCTCATAGAAGTGTTGTGTTGTGCTAGGTGCACACCAAGGCAAATTCCTTGTAAGTCTAAAAACCTTCTTGGCAATAAACCTTATACTGATTCTGATTCTGAAAAAAAGTAATAGAGAATCGTCTAAAATCCAAATCCTACATAATCAGAACAAAACTAGCTAAAAAGTAAAGGTCTGTTGCGTAAAACACAGATGAAAACGCCTCGTGTGAGCGTCTATAGAGGAAATATAACAGTCGATGACACAGTTTTCTGCCTCTGTGACGCCGCGTCGTGCTTGAGCCCGCCGGCGTTTCCCAGACAAAGTCAATAAATTAGTTCCCGGTGCAGATAAAAATAAATAGAGTCGCAGTGATGTGCAGAACGGGTCAAAACGAGGCTACCAGCATCACAAGACAAATAAGAAAGCAGCTTTTTACAACCATGTTTAAAGTTTATTTGAATTTTTGTATCTAAATATTTTTACTTTGAATGAGCTATTCAGGTGCTGTCATCTGAATAATGATCTGTAAAGCCTTTATAATGCATTAACCATTTTATATCAACCTTATACATCAACTTTTTCTTAACTCAAACATAGAATTATTATATTATGTTACAGGAAATCATTCACATAACTCATTTCTATCCAAGGGATTTGTTTAGTTTTTTTAATCAATTCTATTGATTAACGATGATTGCTTTAGATGATCTGGCCTGGGTTTTATAATCTGTTTATTTACTATTGTTACAGGTGATTTTCCTCCAGTTTTCTGGACTTTCTGCTGTTTTTTTATCCGGTTTTTCACTGTGTAAACAAAGCCTACATCCCTGAAACGTTCAGGCACACCTCCTTCACAATAACCGGACAAACTTGTCAAGCTGTAACACCGGCTGTGCATCAGCTGTAAGTAAAACATAATCTTTGTGTGTCCAACTAGATGTTATTTTAAGAAAAGCTTCAATTTGTGAGCAGTTCATTGATCATGGCTACGGCTTTTTCCCCGTAACGCTCCCATGACAACAGCTATGTCCTCAGCACCTGACACGGGAAAACTACACAAACTACGTGTCTATTAAACTATTAAAACTAACGCTAACTTAAATCTACACCAAGCAGACCGAGAATAAATGTAAAAATCGTGTACTAATCGGTTAAGAGTAAGCGAAAAGCAGATTTCCGAGCTCTTAACTCTGGAAGTTAACTTCGCTAAAGTTTGCCTCCCCGGCTAACTTTAGCTACGCTTTGCTAGCAGCGCGCGCTAACCGTTGGTCCTACCGTTGGTTGTCCTCGCGCCGGAGCCGTTGGGATCCGTTAGGAGGGCAAAATGCCGGTTGGTCGCGCTTTCATGGGGCGGAATATCGATTTCTGGAGTACAGTGGACGCCGTGGGCCGTCGCGCACCCACCCACCACATCTGTGGCGTGTGTTCGTGCGCGTGTCCTCCTTCCTATTTGGCGCCCTCCCTCTCAGGCGCGCGCAGCTCTCGGGGACGCGCTCGCACTCGCGCATGCGTCGTGCTCTGTTTTGGGATACATCCAAAGAACTTGTGTTTTTTTTTTTTTATGCATTTGGGACTACTGATGATACCTTTAATCTATGACCTAATCAAAATGGCCGACTTGGATGTGGGAGGAGTTGGATGTCCAACCGAGGCTCCTAGAGCATTGTTTTTCAAACTTTCTTGACCCAAGGTACATTTTTTCATTGAAAAAATCACGAGGCACACCACCAACCAAAAACGACAAACAAATCTGTAGCCGCCTATAGTAACACTATAGTTATTCTTATTTTATTCTTATCTTATCTTAAGTGTCTTGAATAGGAATCAAATAAACACAAAAATGTATTTTTATCATATTTTATATTTCTTCTTTCAAACTGCACTTATTATATACAAAATCTAGTCATAAGGAATTATTACATTATTACGCCACCAGTCACTAGAACAGCACAGACACTCAAAAATGGCATATTATTTGCAGAAAATTAATTCCTTATCAAAAAATCTTTTTAGACCAATTAGGTGAAATAGGATCATTTTCTACGGCACACCTGACCATCACTCGCGGCACACTAGTGTATGGAGGCACAGGGGTTAAAAAACACTGCTTTAAGCTATGACCTAATCAAAATGGCCGACTTGGATGTGGGAGGAGTTGGATATCCAACCGAGGCTCCTAGACCTAGAGGTTATTCCTGGGGTTTGGGGCTTAGCCCCCTGGAACCTTTAAACTTTAGAGCTGCCCCTGGTGGGCGGGGCTTACCCTTTTAGATGGGCGTGGCTTATCCTGCTAGGTGGGCGGGGCTTAGACGGAGAGGCGGGCTTTCCGTGGGAGGACTCTCCGTGACAGGAGGAGGAAGAAGGCTGGCGACTGGCAGCGGGTTTCCTAGCTTCAAAAAGCCGGCTGTACAGGACCTTCGCTGCTGCCTTTCCTTTCCCAAACCCCCCGGGGATCCATGGCTCAAAAAGGGATGAACCTGTGTAACGTGTGCTGCCTGCTGCTGTGGGCCGTCACGGCGGTGCTCGCCGGGTAAGTGGGCCCCGGTTTTGGGGGGGGGTACGCGGCTAAACAGCATCGCTAGCTGGTACACATGTTTCTCTGTGATTGGTCTAACCACGCGTGGCCCACTAAGAAGGGGGGAAACGTGTTCTGATTCAATGTCCATCGGAGATTTGTGTTTTTTGCCTTTTAACCCTAAAAACCGCCGCCGTTTGACTTCTAACGGTCGCGGTTGTAGCATAGTTAGCTCTTAAGCTAGCTCCGGCTAGCCGGTGTCTGCCCCGTCTAAAACAGCTCAAAACAACCCCGATATGTTCTCCGTTGTAGGCGAGACTTCTACAAGATTTTGGGAGTAGGCAAGTCGGCGTCCATCAGGGATATTAAGAAGGCCTACAGAAAGCTGGCTCTCCAGTTACACCCCGACAGGAACCAGGACGACCCCGAAGCTCAAGACAAATTCGCCGACTTGGGGGCAGCTTACGAGGTGGGTCTAAACTAAGCCATTGTTGTCTACCTTAAACCAGTTAATTCTGATGGCGTTATGTGTATAGCGCTTAATATGAGTAATATATGCAAACCGAGACTTATTTCTTTCATTTAAATGTCAGTTTTTGGGCGGAAGTAGCTGAGGTTTTCATAAAGAACGTTTTCTCTAAGCTTGCCACTCGGTTGTTGTTGGAAACGCTACGAGCTCTGTGATTGGCCAGCTAGACCGTGTGGCTGCTTCTGATTGGCTGCGGCCAGACACAGCTGGCAGAATGGGAAGCCTTCACGCAGGAGGGGGAGTGACTCTGCAGGTGTTTCCGCTGAAATAGTTCACATTGTGGAGTGTTTTGCTAGACAGGTTGGTCAACAAAAAGAAAATTAGCACCTCTGGTGAAAAGCAGTTGCAAAAATATGTAATCCTCCTAACTATCTAGAGCACACATTATCAAATATAGGTAGTGGATCTGTATACAAATGCGATCTTTAACTCAATGTAAGTGCCTTATTCTGTCCTCTGACTGTGTATTTCACACACTCCTGGTCACTAAAGTATCTACAAAATATACTGGCTTTACTGACTGCCTTGATCCGTTAATGTTGAAGGGTAAACACCTTTTTCTTTAAAAATAAAAAGGCAAAAGTCGAGGCAAAACATTTAGATTATGAAAACAGACTAAATTCCAATATAGTCCCCAGCAGTGTGAGAAATCCTGAAAAAGCTTTGCAGGTTGTGGACCAAGTTGGAAAGAATAAACTCTAAAGAACACTATGAATTTATAGTATATTTAAATTTATTGGTCATGATTAGATATCAACAGACATTTTGAGAAATAAGTCACTTTGAGTGACTTTGAAGAACCATACTTGAATGTATTTGAATTCATTAGGGAAGTCTGATAGTTGAAGTTGTGATGAGAAAGATGCTCATATACTGCACGATATGGGAGTTTTGATATAATAATTCACCAGAGGGGAGAAAGCACCTTCATTTTATAACGTACACAACAGATATTTGGCGTTTCCTTTCTAAAAAGCTTGTGTTGGGATCCCTATGGGGAAATATTTGCATAACCGCTTTTTGAGGTGAGCTTCTCGTGCTTCTAATGTAGCTGTTGGTGAGCTCAGGTTCAGCTCAGGTGTCTCCATATTGTTATAAAAGCCCAGAGGCAGTACCTGTTGCTGGGCCGGGACCCGATCCCCTCAGAGACGTATCCTCTCACACATCTCACAGGAAAGGGACAGTCCTCCAGCATTGTGTGGCCTCTTCTTCTGAACAGATTTAGCTTTGGGCCCACACCCTGTGAGGAGATGATGGTGGTTTTTCATGCTGTTTGTGGGCTAATATGGCAGGAATTCTGTTGTAAAAGCTCCTGATTAAAGGCATCTGAGGATCGTGAGTTCATGCTGCTTTGATTTAGACTTTGGATTCATTCTTTGACCTTAAACTTTCACTCTGACAACTTTTGTCTGTTCTGGATTATTATTTTTTTTTTCAGCTTCTGAGCAGATTTAGTTTAGAGTCACAGTGTTCTTTGTCAGAGAGGAGTCAGAAGTTGTTGTAGAAATCTCAGACATTTTCTAAACGCGTTATCAGAAGAACTGTGCTCTGTTTCTGTGTGTTCCTGTACAGGGAGCAAACAAAGACCTGTCCACACCATTTTTAGTTTTTTTTTTTTTTTTAAATGGCACGTTTCTCTCTTTTGGTCAGTCTGACTTCACAAAAGTCGATCTGTTGTTTGCTTTGGAGTTGATTTAGACTTTTGTTGAACTGAAACTGGTGTAAGAAAATCCTATACTTTCTCCTACCTTTACCATTTTTTGTTTGTACGTTTAATTTATTCACTTCTAGTTCATCTATTTTCTTTGTTTGTGTGTGTGTGTGTGTGCGTGAGTGGGTGTTTTGTTTTTACTCTTCACATTTGTATTGTTGTTACTATTACTTGAAGAAAAATTAGACTGTATACCTTAATCTAATCTGTATACTGGGTTCTGTCACCAATGTGTTTTGTGTTTGTATATTTCGATAGTTTGATCTGTTTTTATTCTGTAAAGCACTTTGGTCAGCTCCGGCTGTTGTAAAGTGCTATATAAATAAACATTGATTGTTGATTTTAGTGGACGTTTTCTGGGGGCTAATTAGCTCAGGTAGGGACTAGCATGGCCGGTTCCGACCTGCTGGGGTTCAGAGTCGTTGGGGGGGGGCTGATCTCTGGTGTTTGTCTGCAGGTGCTCTCAGACGAGGAGAAGAGGAAGCAGTACGACATGTACGGGGAGGACGGGCTCAAAGAGGGCCACCACAGCTCCCACAACGACATCTTCTCCAGGTGGGTGTCCAAAAGTCCCGACGGTCCTCGAACTACACACACAGGAACAAAGCCTTTCTTTTTGTTCTTTTTTTTTTAACAAAATTTGTATTATTTTTCAGAAATAATACAATGTGGTACGAATATACATGTGTATTTTTACATTTTTAAACATAAAAAGAACAAACACAAACACAGGGTGATTACAAGAGTGTGAGAAAAAACAAAACAAAACAAAAACCTTATTGCATAATTAGTGGAACGACAGGTCTCCGACGTTTATTGAATATGGGTGTTTGTAGTCTCAGGGAGTATGTTATATATTCCATTTGGTATAAGCCCCAAACCTTCTGAATCCATATATTGTAGCAAGGAGGCTCAGGTTTGAGCCATCTGATTGTTATGCATTTTAGAGCCGCTGTTGATAATAAATTCAAAATATATTTTCGATCTCGTGTAGCGATAGTTGTAGGTGTTACTCCCAATAAGGCAATGGCTATATTGGATGGGATTTCCTGTTTGAAGATTACTTTTGGGGCATCAAAAATGTCTTTCCAAAACTGTTGTAATTTGGGGCATTGCCAAAATATGTGTGTGTGATTAGCATTATCAGTTCCACATTTTCTCCAACATAATCCTGAGTGCCTCGGTCCCATTTTAGCCGATATATGGTGTTCTAAAGAATCTAGTCACAGCTTTTGAATTCTCGCCAAGTGTTTGAATTTGTGACGAGGTGTGACTCCGTACATATTTCTTCCCAAGTCTCGTCTGAACCGGGTCAGACTCAGACTTCTAGGCTAAAAACGGGGTCCTCTGAGCAGATCCCTGTGGGACCGGAGGGGTCTGGTCCGACCCAGAGGGGCTGAATATCAGATTAAACAGTTTTTTTCTGGCTCTGATCTTTATTATCTCTCTCTTTCTGAAGCTTCTTTGGTGACTTTGGCTTCATGTTCGGAGGCAACAGGCAGCAGCAGGACCGGAACATCCCCAGAGGAAACGACATCATCCTGGACCTGGAGGTCACGCTGGAAGAGGTGTACTCTGGGAACTTTGTGGAGGTGGGAGGAGCTCCTGCTCTCTACCGTAACAACACGCAAAGTAAAATAACGGGAAGCCGAGGGGCTTAAGGCTAAAGACAGACGGGGGAAACAGCTGGATTAGGGTGGACCGGGGGAACCAGGACCAGAGGGTTCTGGGTTGGAGTCCCCGGGGGAACCAGGACCAGAGGGTTCTGGGTTTGGAGTCCCGGGGGAACCAGGACCAGAGGGTTCTGGGTTGGAGTCCCGGGGGAACCAGGACCTTTCTGGGTGGTTCTGCATGTTCTCCTGTGTCTGTGGGTTCTCTCCGGGTTCTCCGGCTTCCTCCCACCCTCCAAAAACCTGCATGTTAGGTTGTTGGACTCCAAACTGCCCTTAGTGTGAGTGTGTGTGGTTGTTGGTCCTTGTGTGTCTCTGTGTGTCCCTGTGATGGACTGGGGACCGTCCAGGGGGACCCCGCCTCTCCCCATTGGCTACTGGGATAGGCTCCGCCCCCCCCCCCGACCCCATTAGGGAATAAGCAGTTACCATAATGGATGGATGGTTCTGCTGATTAGTTTAATAACTAGACATTGTCCTGGTTCCGGTAGTTTTTTTTCATAGAGGATAAATATGGTTAATAGCATAAATGAGCTTTTAAGTAGAAACTAAAATCTCATGTTTTTGTGCACTTCTGGCTTTGATGTGTTCCTTTAATCAAAGACGAACCCACATTTTACTTTGATCTTTTGCCCTTTTTTTGTTTTGATTCTGAAATATTTGACTTTTAGCTGCATAAGCTCCTCTCATGGCAGTTTTTTGGAAGTTTTCTGGTTGTTGGTCCTTGTGTGTCTCTGTGTGTCCCTGTGATGGACTGGGGACCGTCCAGGGTGACCCCGCCTCTCCCCATTGGCTACTGGGATAGGCTCCACCCCCCCCCGACCCCATTAGGGAATAAGGGGTTATGACAATGGATGGATGGTTCTGCTCTGTTCCAGATCTGTGGATCTATAGGAGCTGATAAGTTTAATAACTAGACTTTGTCTTGGTTCCGGTATAAGGGGTTATGATAATAGGATGGGATGTTGGGGAAAGTTTTCCTCTGATGCTAAAGCAGCTAGCTAGCTTTGCTAGCTGCCCGCCCCCTCACGCGGCCCTCTGCCCCCCCCAGGTGGTTCGCAACAAGCCCGTGGCCAAAGAGGCCCCCGGCAAGAGGAAGTGCAACTGCCGGCAGGAGATGAAGACCACGCAGCTCGGGCCGGGCCGGTTCCAGATGACCCAGGAGACGGTGTGCGACGAGTGCCCCAACGTCAAGTGGGTCCAGCTCCCGTCTGGGGGAAGGGGGGGTTATCTTTAGATGTAAAATGTCTGTTTATGATGAGAAATGGGGACTAAATGGTCACAAAAAGACAAAAGAAGACACAAAACTGCAAAAAAGTCCAGCTGAAGACC